AAATAACTATCCATCCAGGCTTACAGTCTATCATGGACTCCTCAGTAATGAGTCATGTCAACAACCAACATTGTCCATTTGTAATTATTGTTTATAAACAAACTTTCTGATTATTTTATTGATTTTATTGGTTGAAAAATATATATAGGATTTAATTCCTATATTTTAAGTAACCTGCAAAGGGTTGATAAGCCATAAAAAACTCTCTTTTAAGAAATTATAGAAATTCACAGAAAATAAAGAAAAAATTCTGGGGAGAGCCATGATTATCTACATCTTATAAGAAAAGAATTCACATCTATATGAATGGTTATTGACAAAATTTTATAAATGGAAGCTAAATTATGAAAAAATAATTCTGGTAAATAGATTTATATTTATTTGTTTCTTTTTTGTTTTTAAAGTTATCTTTTTAATTTTTTATTTTAGCAAACAGGAACAGTGCTTTAATTATTTTTTTTTAAATTTTTACAATAAAAAGTTTTGGTGTATAAAACCAAAATCAAATAAATGATCTTCTGGGATGAGGGAAATAATTTATGTCTACAAGGTTTTCTAAAAAAGGAAACTTTCCTGTCTGACAAGGAAATTTCCCTTTTTACATTCTGTTCTTGTTCCATTGAAAAAAAGGTTTTCTATTTTTTTCTTAAATCTTTAATTATTTTGTTTGGCCACCAAGTTCTATAAAAAGACTTTCCTTAACTTGGCACTTGATTCCAGGAAGCCCAACTTTGTTGGAACATTATTAACTGTCACTATTTTAACTTGAAAATAATCTCATAAGATCATGAGGTTTTGGCAACAGAGCTTCATTCTTAATAAAAGTCACTTTTCAGATGTCTGTTAGAGTGTATATTGGTGGAACAAGGGAAAAGAATAAAAGAATAAAATGCACACACACACACACACACACACACACACATATATATAATATACATGGTCAAAAGAGAAAGAGATGAATTGAAATTAACTGATATAATCAAAGAGAAAAAGTAAGAGATATTTATATATATATATATATATATATATATATATCCTGCTTATCCATTATTAATAGATAGAGCAGTCATGGGCAAACTGCAGCCTGTGGGCTCTTTCTGAATGGCACACTTTATTTCGTAAGGAAAATAACGTTTCTTAAAATTTTGTTTTGTTTTATTCTCACTTGTTCACTCACACTCTCTCACACCAAGAGGTTGAGAGAAGTGGGTGTCAAAAAGAAATAACTATTAAATGCCTAAAAACCTCCCTTACTTATTAATGTCTGTGTTGTGGCTACAATATACATATATAACAATAATTAAGTATGATGTTTCTTGAATTTTGTAACCTTTCATTGAAGTTATAGTTTTCAGCATTTTAAGCCATTGGCTTTTTTTGTTTTGTTTTTTTTACAGTAAGAGTCACCCTTTACAAAGAGGGATATAGGGTTATGTTAGGAGGCTATTTGTGCGAATAGGTGAGAGAGATAGCAATTACTCCTAGCCTTGAACAGGTTAAGATTATAGTGATCAGGGAAACACCCTGTTGGAAGTCGGTTCCACAGGGTAGTGGTTCATGGAAAGTGTTGACCCTGTTTGCCATAGTCTCTGAATATGGAATCCAGTGAAGTCTGTAATCTGTTCAATATCAGAGGTTGGCAGTGAAGATTCGGAGAAAGTAGCAGCTGTTAATTCTTTAAGTCTTCAATATCAGGTTGGCAGTGGAGATATTTTGGGAGAAAAAAAATGGCTGTCTTTATACACGTCGCATTGAATATTTTGAGCTTTCTGATTGGTTAACCCTTCTCTTGGTGGACTATAAAATGAGTCAGCTCATTTTGGTTGGCTCACTAGTACATAGTTATATCCAAAAAACTGTAACAGAAAGAACCTACTCAAGTAGAACTTACTTCTCACCAATAGAATATAGAGGGAATGTGGGTGGTTTGCTACTACTTAAATGGTATGGCATATTCTTGCTGTGAAAGTTTGCCTTGGCAGGATCAGGGAATGTAGTTTGTCTGAGCACTTTCCATGGAAGTAGCAGTAGAGCAATGAGAAGCTTGCCACATCCCACCTGTGGTAAAGGGGTTGAAGGGTAGAGAATAATTCATCAGCTACAAGGTCTCAGAGATGCTTTTGAACTCTATCTATAAGAGTGAGGCCTTAGCAGCTCCTTCCCAAATATGGCAACTCTATTTTGGACCTGATCTGGCTCTTGTAAAGTTAGAGGATAGCAGGAAGAGTCAGCTACTTACTGGAGCGGTACAGGGAGCCAACCATTTTACATATATCCTTAGCAAAAGATCATATGTACTAGTTCCACTTGTGGTCGGATGTGAGTTTGAGGCCCAACAGTTTTCACTAAGGAAGATCATACGGATAAACATCTTTTGCTTTTGAAACAAGAAACATTTATAATATTTTTTCTCTAAAGAACAAATGAGTTTTTATTTTCAAATGAATATATTAGAAATAAATCACACTCAGCAACACATGTTAACCAAACTGTCATCACTGATAATATTATACCAAGTCTTCAATTATTTAATTATAGAAGAAAAAATTCAACTTTTCTCCCAATTTTAAGATATACATATGGTCTTCTGTAGTGAAAACAGCAGAGGTGCCTACTATGGAAAATTACCTTTGATATCTTTATAGTACAACCTACCTTGTTATGAGCCATAAATTACATGGCCCACTACTCAAATATGGTTGCCCAGGCCAGAGATAGATAACTTTTTTAAATGATTTCATCCCAAGCAAGGCAATAAAGTGACTAAGACACAAGGGGTTACTGGGTATAGGAAAATTAGTAAACAGAAACATTGCTAAGGAGCCAGAATAATAGAATAATACAGCAGATAGCAATTACAATTAGCAATTATAGACAGCTGATAGCAATTGACATTGCATTTAAATTTTGATGATCACAGATGACTGGAAAGCATGGAGCCAGAAGAAGCGAGAAATGCAAGAAAAAACTGTTAGCATAGAACTTATAATTACAACTAGCCAACTGAACTATAAATTTATGATACCCCATTGCCAGTCTAGTACTGCACTTAAATTCATAAAATCTAGATACCGTAAGGAAGAGTTCATCTGAACAATTACCATGAAAGTATTTTTAGAAAAGGCACAGGGAAAGTGACTGAAGCCAAGATTCCAGGTCAGAACCAATAATATTACTAATTCTTCTTTGGATTTTATCAAGAATCTCTCTATATATATCAGGCACACCAGACCATATATGACAGTAATATTCTAAGCATGGAAAAATGGTAGACTTATAGATATGGAAGATAGATTCTGGAGAGAAAAATTGTCTAGCATGACACAGTGAACCGATCTTCTTAGCAGCTGACCTAGCAATGGATTAAATATAGTCTTTTTTAATATGTTTCTGAAAAATAAAAATTTACTTAATCAAAAACATGAAATAATTTTTTTTATTATGAAAGTAATTCTAATATATTTATTTGTAAAAAATAACATATAGTCTATCAGTTATTAAAAGTAGAAAAGTACTTTAAATTTGTAGGAATAGATTTTAAATATTAAAAATACAACTTACTCATATTCAGATGACCCTTTTAAGAAATTTTTGTGTATAAATTATAAATTAAAAGGACAAATAAAAATGCCAAAAACTTTTTATCATTGAAAAACTCAGATGACATGTGAAAAACAGATGTCATTGTTTGTGAGCTGGCATGCCTACACCACCTTAACTTAACCTGATTTTGAAAGTAACTTATATTTCATATAAGGGAAATTAAAACCCAACCACCCCTTATCAAAATGATTGAATCTTCCATAACCTTAACAATTTAAAATATTAAGATTGTCTGTGGTTATAAAGTAAATTTCTTAATAGGTTATTCTAAAAGTCACTTGAGAAAGGAACAGAGCTATGGATTTTAAATTTAATCTTATAATTAAATTTAAAATTTTATTTTCTGTTTTTAAACATGGTAATTTCTGTGTAGCGATGGAACCATATTTTTAAAATAGAAAATAATTATTATATATATATATATATATATAGAGAGAGAGAGAGAGAGAGATTTTAAGACATTTTATCGTTTTACAATTAGTACTGTTACATTTCACACAGTGATTGTTATTTTCACTTTCTTCTTTCATAAAAATCTTTGGCAGTACCACCAGGTGTTGCTATGTAAAAGAGGTAACTCTAGAACAGCATAAAAGTTACTAACATTATGGATAAAAAAGACTTGATGTATTATATGTGTGTGTGTATGTGTGTAAAAATAATGTTTTTCATAGAGGAAAGAAACAATATGTAAATAAACTTAATTGCTTGCCAAAAACATCTGCTGCAGGTTAGATATGAAAAGATACATGAAACCCTAGGTACTGATTTCAAGAAGATAAGTGTACTATTTTATTTTTTAATAATCCTGCTAATTTATTACTTATTATTTATTACTAATCCTCCTGCTATCTTTTACCATTACAAGAGCTGGATCAAGCTGAAAATGAGAGTATTTGGCAGGAGGTTCCCAGTCTTCACTTTCCAATCCCAAATGAAGTCCAATCACATCTATGCATCCTTGGGATTAACAAATTATTTTCCACCTTACAATTCTTTTCTCACTGACAAAACATTGCAAGCTTTTTGCTGCTCTATTGCTATTTCCATGCAAAGTGTTCAGATGAACTTCATTCCTTAGTTCCATTAGTTCTAACCTTCACATCTAAGACCTGCTATGCCATGCCAATTGTAGCAAACTACTCACATTCCTTTTATATATCATTGGTGAGATGTAAGTTCCACTTGAGCAAGTTCTACCTATGAGCTGCTGCTTTGTGGAACCAGCTCCCAAGAAGACGCTTCCTTGATCACTACAATCTTAACCTGTTCTTGGGTCAAGTGTTATTTTCCCTAGTTATCACCATAAACTGTGCCTCCTAATCTGTAACCTTCTAACTTGTGTGGCTCTTGGGTCTTATACTTTGTGATTTAATGACTTATTTTCTTCATTCCAGGCTTGCAAGAAAGAACTTAACATTGGATGAATTTGACTATAACAAAAAGCATATCACTGATGAAATCTATGCTGCTATGGACAACACTAGCTTTTCTGGTGTATCAGTATGTATATACTTTTATATATTATATGTGTGTGTGTGTGTGTTTTATATATATATATATAAAGAATATATATATATATATATATATATATATATATATATATATATATGCAAATATTATTTTAAAAATATTATTTAAACAATAATATTATTTAACATTTTTAAAATTAAAAAATTTTTTAAATCAATTATAATGATCAACCTTGCCTAGTTATGCATACTCCTTCTCAGACAAGGATGAAATACCGTCAAAATTGTCCACAGTTCATTTCAGAAGAAAAGTACAGGAGATATGCTCCAAGCTTTCAACTTTCTTAAGTCATCAACTGGGCAGGTTTTGACAATTTCCTGTACTTTTCTTCCAAAATGAGCTTTAGACAATTTCTGATGTAATTTCCTCCTTGTCTGAGAAGAATTATTCCTAACTTCAAAAAGTTGATCACTAAAATTAATTGATGAAAATGTCTATTATTTTTAATATTATTTGCCTTAAAGACCATTTACTGCCTAAATACACAGAATATATATATATATATATATATATATATATATATATATATATATATATATATATATATAAACATTGTTATTTAGCCAAACTTTTATATAAGAAAAATTACTGCTTGAATACATCAGATATCTTTCTATATAGTGATTTTCCAAGTGTAAAAAAAAAATCACTATATATATATGGAAAGATAGATAGATAGATATCTGATGTATTCAAGCAGTAATTTTTCTTATATACAAGTTTGACTAAATGAACAATGAAAGTTTTTTGATAATTATTTTTTATTTATTTTTGCCTTGTTCTGGATTAATTCTTGGTTTCAGATTCCTATTTGAAAATATATATTCCAATGTTTGAGTACTCTCCTCTATCAAAGATTTTTAGTTTTGTATTATGGCATTGATTTTCAAACATCCTAATGACAACCAAAAATACACAGACATTGGAAAATATATTTTCAAATGTGAACCTGAAACCCAGAAAATAATCTGGAACATTAAAAAATAAATGATAAATTAAGAAGGAACTTTTATTGGTATACTAGCAGTAGAGCCAAGCGTTGCCCAGGGATATAACAGTAAGAGATAGATCAAGTATCCACCATCATAAAGACTGAAAAATAAAATTGACAAAGATTATTGTTTAAGGTTGACGGACACGCATGTCTTAATTAGTTTTTTTTTTTTGTTTTTGTTTTTTTTACGAATTGGTCAAACCCAAACTCAAACAAAAACATTGTTTTCAATCGTTATGAGTTTCCTGATTGAATAAAATTTTATTATAAGCAATTGTCTTGTAAATGGAATTTTTAAAGTATTCTGAATATTAAAAATAAAGAAAAAAGTGTGCAAGAGAGTAAGAAACACTACCTGCCAAAAAAAAAAAAAAGTGAATTTTTGTTTTATCGGCTGAAAAATATAGGAAATCCGATAACCCGATGTGAGTTGTCCCCCTTCCATTTTCACGATGTCTCTTAATCATGTTTTCAAATTGATTTTGTGCAAAAAAAATTGTATTTTTCCCATTTTGGGCACTGTTAGAACCACCACAAGGTAATTTTATGTAGTCCTGTGAAGTTTTGTTGAAATCGGTTGAAAAATGTAGAAAATCCAATCCAATATATAAACGTTACACACACACACACACACACACACACACAATCTGCGTTTTATAATAAGTAAGATACAGTGTGTGATGGTTAAATTGTCACCATTTTATATTTTTAATTTCCTGCATACACATTGTTTGGTTTTGATTTTATCAACTACACAATGTAGTAGGGTCAGTTGGGCACCTTCTGTGAGAAAAAGAGCACCATGACACAATTCCCTCTGCCAGAAATTTGGAAACATCATGCTGTACTGCTTGGCATTCATGCCAGAAGCTCCAATACGAACATTTCAGTTTGGGTGTTAATCTGAAGACAGTGCAGAGGATTCAAGAAGAGTTGGATGAGTCTAATGGTGATTACAAAGGCAAAGCAGCTCAGATCTGATCATTCTGATAAGAAAAGAACTCTGGAATTTGTTGGTGAGGGACTCAACACAGAGGCCTACATCAAGTGCCTTGAGAAGGTAGTGCTGCCCTGGGTGAAGAGGGTGGTTGGCGGAGGACCTCATGTCTAACAAAACGACTGTGCACCATGCCACGCAAGTAGGAAATCCAGTCATGGCTGCCAGACAATTTCTGTGACCACATCACCCCTTATATCTGACCACCTAACTACTTAGATTGCAACCCCCTTGATTATTATATGTGGGTCACATTTGAGCGAGAGACCAACAAAACACCTTGTAACACCAAAGATGAACTGAAGGCAAGGATTATGGCAGCATTCACCAACTTAAACAAGGAGACTGTCCAGAAGAGTCGCAGAAGATTCTGAAGTCATCTTTGAGTCATGGTTAAAACCAGTGCGAATTTTATTGAATAAATTTACTTTTTAGTATTTCAAGATATTTTATGTAGTTTTGGTAAATATATCTATTAAAATGAGATGTTAGTGTTATTTTCATTTTTGCATAATTTAAACAACAGTTTATCCATCACACCCTGTGTATATCTATATGGAAATATCATCACTTCACAGATTCTAACACCTATTTAACAGTTATAAAACTTCCTCAATGATATTCTTACCTCATATCTATCTACCAATTATAGTATCACATTTACTCATGAATCAACCAAGCAAAAGCATTTTTGAATCACTTGATGTAGAGCACTAGTAAAATTGAATAAAAGCTTAATTATGGTATTTTGTCAGTTCACTTGCCTTAAAAAAACTGATATATATATATATATATAAAATATAAAAGGCTCAAACACTAATATTCCATGGTTATAATTTATTACATTGGAATCGTAATCACAATCTAATTCATCAGACCTACAAATTCAAAAAGCTTTTTGAATTTGTAGGTCTGATGAATTGAATTCTACTTAATTCTATCCTCTTGGGAATTTATTTATATAAATATATATATATATATATATATATATTTATATTTTTATATATATATATATATATATATATATATATACATTGACCACTAATATTATCTATATATATATATATATATATATATATAAGCTTCATTAAATATCAGTTTCATGAATATATATATATATTTGGTTGGATAGATATATATGTTAGCTCTATCTCTGATATTGAGCGCTTTCTAATAAGTACCGTGCATATAATATATAAATAATTATACATATATATATTTATTTATATTTATATACACTTTTTCATATATATATATATATATATATATATATATATATATAGGAAAAATGTTATATTTGTTCGAATGAGAGAAAAATGTATATCAGCTTTCTTGTATTTGTTCCTAATTTCCTTGTGCAGTGTTCTATATTCTGTGCCATACCTTGGCATTCATTTTTGTCTACTTCTCATCATGTTGAAAATTTCATCTGTTATCCATTTTTTTTTTTCTTTGTCTATTTTCCCTTGGGATGATCTTGATTGCTAATTGTTACTAAAGCTTCTCTTAATGCGTCCCACTTTGAGTTTCCATTCTCTTTTGTATCTGTTTTTGTCACTGTCCATTTATTTCTCCTTCATATTCAGATCATTCAGGAGTCTGTCATATTGCAATTCAGGTACAGACTTGGCCCTCTTCAATTTCTGTAGTTTTACACTAAGTTTACAGATCCTTCAAAGGTGGTCACTCCTGCAGTCAGCACTTGGATATGTTTTGCAGCATGAAACTGCATTCCTGGATCTCCTATTAATAATTATATATTTGATTTGGTATTTCATTTCTCCTCCTGACCTTCTCAATGTCCATATATATCTTGGGTGTTCTTGAAACCAGATATTAGCTATTATCTGTTCATTCACTATGTATCATTGAAACCATTTTTCTCCACATTCATTCTCTCTTTGCATCCTTTGGCATTTATGATGATTGTAATTTCTTGTGCTGAGCTTTGGCACTGTCTAGCATACAGTAAACCTTTTCAATTTCTTCTTCTTTACTTTGTTGTCAGTGCATAAACAACTATGATGGATACTATATTAAATATATCAAAAACTCTTCTTGAATTTTCTTATGTTCATTCTATTTTCAAGTTTCTGTGCAAATATCTTAGCAACAACTTTGTTATTTTGTTTAAATCTGACAATCATAATGTTGTGTATTTCATGAACTGTTCAATGGCAAGAAAAAATTTTTGAAACTGCACCTGCAGTGTTTATAGATATTAGCAGCTAATATCAAACACAGAAATTTACAAACACATAAGTTAGAACTTAAAAGTAAAAGTGATAATCAAAATGTTGAGTTACAATATTAATGCACCACTATGGATGTAATAATAGGGTAGACTTAACTTGCTAGGGCTTCTGTGGCAAGGAAAACTCTGAGGAGAAGGCAGCAGGAAACTAACTATCTTTGCCAAGAAGTTATGGCAATTCCCAAATAATAAAGAAAAGGAATCTGTGGAGAGCCATGATTTCCTACATCCTCAAGAGACATGGCAATATTGTTTTTAAATCTGTAGATATTTTTTTCATCTCATAGTTATCTCATTAGATTCAAGTATATTTCTTTTAATAACGTTAACAGATGCAGAAACATGCAATGCAACAAAGAGGTAGGGTTGGTTGATTTTACAACATGCCATCTCTTGTCAGGTTATTTCATGTCAAATTTTGTATAGGGCACCCAACGAGGATCGAACTCACTACTCAGTAGTAATGGTCACACAGACTAGCCTCACTAATCACACCAAGATACCCACAACAAAGATCATGAAATTGATCTGAAAGAATCCACATATATAAAAGGCAATGTATATCATTCATATATACCTGATTCCCACAAGGCATGTGTTGATGGTATACCTGCAATAGTCCTTAAGAAATGTGCTCCTGAACTGTCTCCTATTCTCTCTCTTTTTGGCAAAGTAGTAAAGGTTCTAATCAACTCTGAATTGTTTCAGCAGGGTCTTCTTTCAGA